AGTGCTCGGCGTTTGAACTTCATCGTGGTGCCTCTGCCACGGCGGCGATTCGCGCTACCCCCTTCCGCTGCACACTCGACTTGGAAGGAACTAACTTGGTCTGTGGAAGAGGGTGAGCCTCCTCCTGATTGCCCCCTACCCTGCGCGTTACCTTCCTCTAGTCGTCCTCATCCTTGAAACTCTCACCCCTATCCCACATCATCTCTCCTGCCTCATCCTCCTCCGGTTCCTCCTTCCTCCTCACTCGGCCTCCTCCGCTTTCTCCTACATATTTCTCGTCCTCTGCAACCTTGTCATCGTCCTCGTCCTGCTGCTGATATTGCTCCTGCTCCTGCTCCTCCTCCTCCTCCTCCTCCTCCTCCTCCATATCTGCTCTCCGTGCCGACCTCCATTATCCGTGCTCCCACCATATCCATCCTCTCTACTCCCTCCAAGTCCTTCCCTCCCCCTCCCTCATGCCCCCTCAGTCCTCCTCCTCCTTCTTCTCCTCCTCCTCCTCCTCCTCCTCCTCGTCCTCCCCCGCGCCCTCATCCCTCCCTCCTCCGTCTTCTGCTCTCCACCCTCCTGGCTACCCTTCCCCCTTCCTTCCCTCCTCCTCATTCCACTCCTGGGACCCAGGTGTCTCGACACGGGGGCGCTGCTCAGTCCAATCTCCAGTGCGGTCTGGGCCGAAAGACCGAGAGCAACTCACGGTCGGGAGCTTCTGGATAGCGTGTCGCCACGGCGGCCCTGGCAACACGCTTGGCCTTGCAAGTGGATAGCGTGTCGCTCCGCTTCGCGGGGTGGGTGGGTCGGTAAACGCTCGGGACGCTTGCGCGGGGAGGCCGGGAAGTGGATAGCGTGTCGCACCGAAGCGCGATGGGCCAGAACTGGCGGAGAGACACGCCATCCCGACACGGATTCGCTACAAATGTTCTCGGCGGCGCCGCCGCCGTCGTCGCCGTCGTCGCCGGCGCCTGCCGTCGAGGTCGCTGTCGCCGAGTGTCGTCGCCACCGCTGCAATCGGACCCGCACCTGAAGCGGCGAAGCCGAAAAACGGAAACTGCGCTCTTCCCGTTTTTTCGGCTCGAGGGGCGTGGTTGCGCCGCCCCCCTCCTGGCCCTTCCCCGGACCCGCGACACGAGGAGGAGGAAGGATGAGGAGGAGGAGGAGGAGAAGGAGGAGGAGGAGAAGGAGGAGGAGGTAGGAGGAGGAGGAATTGACGAGCGTAAGAGACGAGGAGGGGGCCACTGGCAGCAGTGAGACAAACCTGTGGAGTCCTAAACCTGGACAGTGGGGTGCCGGAAAAGGCCTTCCAACGGCCTCGGGAGGAAACTCTGGGAGCTCTTGGACGGAGCTCGCGAAGGAGCTTCTGGAGAGCTCCCAGGCACACGCATGGGGAAACGCTGCGAGAAGGCCTGCCGGGACGCGCTGCGAGTCCAGGGGGGCCGCGCCGAGGTGTCCTACCAGACGCCGGAAAGAATCCCGGGGCCACCCTGCGGAGCCGGCTTCTAATCTGAACCCCTCTCAGCTCTCAGGGAACTATCCGGGAGCGAAGGCGGAAGAAGAAGGGGAGAAGGACGAGGAAGGAGGAGAAGAATTAGGAGGAGGAAGAGGAAGAGGAGGAGGAGGAGGAGGAGGAAGGAGGAGGAGGAGGAGGATGACGAGGGAAGGGGAGGAGGAGGAGGAGGAGGAGGAGGAGGAGGAGGAGGAGGAGGAGGAGGAGGAGGAGAAGGAGAGAGGGAGGGAGGAGGAGGAGGAGGAGGAGGAGGACACCGACCCAAAGGGTGGAGCGAAGCGGGAGCGCAGCGTGGGCGCACAACACCACTCCGCTGCCCAAGGCGCCCTGCCCCCCTCCCCCCCGCCCCGCCTGGAGCTCCCTGCACCGGCTCGGCCTGTGCCTGAACTGCGGCATGGACTCCATCAGGAAAGACACTGTGCTCACCAGTATCGTGAGCACCTGGCGATGACGCACCCGCGTCCGCGATTCGATCCTCTGTGGTTCTGGTCAGAACTGGCACGGCAATCTGCAAGCGATCGCGCGCGCCGCCCCCGAACAGATGGCGAGGTCCTGGTCGCGGCAATCATCAGCCAAGCATGCTTGCTTGACGTTTTCCGTCGAACAATTCAATCGATCAGCCATTGAACACACTGTTACTTCTGGTCGCAGCTCGCCATGACCGCAAACAATGTTCACGACGTCGGTCTATAGAGCAGCCTGGAAGCCGAATCTGCCACCATACCTTCAGCACTTAATGGAGCGTCCCAGCGCATAAAGCTGTGAGCGCTGAGAAGGGATCGTGGGAGTCTCCAGCGCCACGGCCCACAACTTCCAAGATTCCCCCACCTTCCCAAGCGCGCTTGAGGTGTGCCGCGTGAGCCCTCTGGAAGCTGAGCCCGCCCATACCGACCCAAGATATCCAAATAGTCTTCCAAGGCACAGGAGGCCCTCGAGAAATTCCAAGAGGCCCAACAGGGACCCTGCGAAGCCCACAAGGAGGCTCCAAGACGATTCAAGATCCCAGACAACTCATTCAGGTTGATTCCCATATGTTTGGCCTTCTCGGCTTCTCATTTCAACATGGGTGCGACGTGTTTTTTGGTTGTTTGTTAAAAGAGCTTCTCGAAGAGGGGCCCCTGAACAACCCGGGATGCCCCAAGAGGACCCTGAAAGGTCACCAAAACGTCCCAGGACAGCCTTTTGGGAAGTCACTCGAATGCCAAGGGGGCTCCAAAACAACACAAGACGGCGCCAAGACAGCCTAAGAAAACCCCCGATGGCCCCTAGGACGCCCTGAGACGGCTCAAGGAGGGCCCCCAAGACAGCCTTAGAGAACCCGAACCCTAAGACTGCCCAGTCGGCCCCCGGATGCCCCCCAAAGGCCCCAACGAGGCCCCCAGGAGGCCCTAAGAGGGCAGCGCAAGACCTCATATTCCTCCTCCAGTTCGTCCTCCTCCTGCTCCTCTGTCCTCCTCCCCGCGCGTTCCCCCAAGGGCTCCCGCATCGGCTATGGAAACACACAACCCAATATCCCGGCCAAACTGTGTCTCATCTTCGGGGTTTTCCTCGTTATGGCCTTTACTGGTCATCATTCGTTTCCTCCTCGTGTCCTCCGCCTCCTCCACCTCGCCCTCCTCCTCCTCCTAAATACCGCTGTTTTCCTACAATTTTTCGGGATCCTGCTTCCGGACATTATCATCGTCCTCGTCCTGATTCCGGACATTCTCTGCCGCCGCCCTCCATCCCGCATCATCGTCACCAGCAACAACATCATCATCAGCAGCATCGTCATCGCCGTCGTCGTCATCATCATCATCGTCATCACCATCATCATCATGATCATCAACATCATCATCATCATCATCATCACCATCATAACCATCACCACTGCCACCATTACTACCGTCGTTTTCGCCGTCGTCGTCTTCGGCATCATCATCATCAACATGTCCCATCTCGCTGTCGTCACCTTCAGCATAAACATCCACACCACCATCACCATCACCTACATCATCACCACCAGCATCAACGTCATCAACAACAACATCACCATCATAATCCTCATGCACATCATCAGGATCACCACCGTCATCACCATCATCATCAACATCAGCATCGCCATCAACATCCCCATCACCATCGCCATCTCCGCCATCGCCATCACTACCACCATCATCATCGTCATCATTATCATCAACATCATCATCATCATCATCATCATCATCATCATCATCATCATCATCATCATCATCATCATCATTATCGTCATCATCATCGCCTGTGCTCCCCGATGTGTGGACGCCTGGGGCCTCGCCCAGCTGCGGAAACCCGGTGCAACCGACAACGGAATCGCGCAGTCCTTCGCACAGCAGGCACGCACTTAAGCAGGCAGCCCGGCCGCTCGCGCAGCCAGCGCGGCGCAGAAGGCGGGGAGAGGCGCGCGCGGCCGGCCCAGATCCCGCGGCGTGGGAGACAGTGGTTCCGCCCACAGGGGATCGGCAGCATCACCTGCGAGCGCAGCAGGGGAGGGGTGACGGGGAGACGGTGGGAGAGAGGGGAGTCGGAGCTGGAGCAGTGCGGCAGGAGCTCGCCCACGGGAGGCCTTCCACAAGAAACCCAGCCTTGAGACCCCAGGGTGTTCGTTGATGTCTGGTGTGGGAGCGCCACGCCCTCCGTAGCAGAGCCCTCGAAACCCAAGGGACCCAGGGCACCCTGGAGGGAAGCAGGGTGTCTCTTGGCATGGGCTTCCACTGTACGCAGTCCAGCCGACAGGGGCAGGGGCGCAAGGGCGGCCCGAGACGGGGCGGGGCGTGAAGAGACCCGGCGGCAGAAGCAGACGCGCACACGCGAGCTCGCACGTATCGGACTACTGTCCACTCGGACGCCACACGCCGGTTTAGCACGTCGGGCGGATGGTGATGGGGGGCGACTTGAAGCGGGCGTGACGGAAAGGGCCCCGAAGGGCCCCCTTTGGACCCCCACTGGCTGTAGAAGGGGCCCACAGGGCCACTGTAGGGCCTTTTTCTTCACCCGCCAGGTAGGTCACTTCCCATTACCACCCGCCCGAGCCTGGCTGGCCCTCGAGTTCGTGCCATCTCGGGTTTCGGAGAACACCGAGCGACCCAAGAGACCCCCCAAAGATGGCCCCGATGAGGCCAGAGGGGACCCCAAAAGGGGCCCCAAGGCGGCCCCGCGACGGCCTCAACAGGACCAGACCCCCAAACGGCCCGTGCGAGTCCCAAGACGGCACTCAAGAGCAATTTCGAAATCTCTCACAAGCTTCAAAAAACCGACGCCAGGTCACCACATTGTCCGTTCTGGCCGGTTCGGCCCAAGAGGTCCCCAAGACGGCCAAGATAGGCCCCCCAGGCGGCATCCGAGGGTGCCAGACGGTCCGAGAGCACCTTGGGACCGTCCAGCACAGCTCAAGATGGCCCACGAGAGCCTCGAGAGGCGACCAAGAGAGCCAAGTGATTTGAAAAGAGCCTCCATTGAGCCCCGTTGGTGGCCCCTGAATGAAGGGGCCCCGGGACACACCAATAGACACAAGTAACCGGCTTCCCCATAGTTTCCCATATTTTCTGGGTGTTTGTCTTCCCCCCCACTTCCCCTATGCTCCCTTGTTTTCTGGGGGATCGACGATTCATTCTGTCTGTGTGTTTTTCCCCTCCTGACTGAGGGCCCTTCCTCCCCTGCGTTCCTCCGAGGGTGCCCCCCTAGGCAGCGGGGGGACACGCCGTCCACTGGCAGGGCCGCACCACCGCTCGGCAGTTCACCGCACGGGCGTTTCCAGAGGGGAGGGCCCGGCGGCGGTTCAGCACGTTGGCCAGCGAAGGAGGGGGGGAAGCAAGGGGATGAGGGGTGGCGGCCGAAACTAATCTTTGGACGCCCTAAATGGGTACGGAAAGAATGGGTACAATGCCCAACAAGTAATGTTGTCCCAAAGCAACAACGGCCGCTGTTGGGCAGGCGGCCTTCTGTCTCAAGTGGACACAGGCCGCGGCGGCGCGGACAGCGAGTCCTGCACAAAAGGAACAAGATCCGCTGTTGGGCATTGTACCCATTCGTTCCGTGCCCTTTTCGTTCGTGCAGGTAATACCAAGAGACACTTGATAATCTCCTGATGTATTGCGGTGCCTGTATGTCACATCTGCCCCCTGCCTCCCACGCCCAGGGCTGGGCATGTCATCGTCGTATGCGAACTAAGCGCAAATCGCTGTAGCCCCACACATGACTCACTATCTGATCGCAGACCTCCCCGGCAGGGATTGCCATGCACTGCAAAATAACTGCAAAGCTAATGTTAACTACACATTCCTGGTCAACATTGGCATGAGAAATGGAAAGGGAGGGGGCGCGTCATATGGCGTGCGCTGGTCTATGGGCGGGCGTTCAGTTCGCGAGCGTCCAATGCTTCACTCTCACGTTTGACTCCGCGAGCAAAGACTGCTCGTTCTGGCGTTGACGACGGCTTGCCAGCCGACCGTCGTTTGGCTATCATGAGGTGTTCTCGTGGGCCACAGTCCTCACCACGCACCACAAAGCAACCACAGAAGAGCGAAGGCAGTGACACTGGCGAGTGGACCCCAAACAATAGAAACGTTGGGGGTTGCTAAAGGTATCCCTGGCCCAAAGTGCCCCTGGCGTTTTGCTAAATGTCGGAGCCCCTGGGCCCCCTGAGCCTCGTGAGGGGTGCTCTGGAGGCCCTGGGGGCCTCCTTGGAAATCCTTCGATCACTTGGGGCCAGGGGCACTTCTAGCAACACCCGAGAAAGAGTGCACGCAAGGGAACTGAGGCCAGGACCCCATGCACAGGACGGCCAGGCGCCTCGCGACAGCAGGGCAGGGGCAGCCTGACGCAACCAAGCCAGACGCTGAGAGCACGCTGGTGTGCTTCTGCCAGCCCTGGGGCCAACGGTCCGTCTGCGTCGGGACTCTGCTGAGCATGCGTGTCTGCTGAAGAACGACGGCGGGAAGACGGCACAAACATGCTTTGTTCTGCCGCAGGGGTTCCGGCTGCAACTCCCAGCCCGGATGCAGGCAGACCCGGGCAACACAGCGACAGCAGAGTGCAGCGAAGCGCTTACTGGCGCCGTGGCCGAGTGTGCGCTGGCTCCTCCGGAGGATGCCAGCACAGACGTACCCTTTCGGAGGTCCGCGCGGCTCTCTTCGGCGTTGGACAAACCTCCCTTTAGTGAACCTCCCCCTGGTGAAAACGGCCTGGGACCGAAACCGACGGACCTGGACCCGCAAAAATGACGGCCGCGGCGCCCTCTCGCGAACCGAAAACGGCCCATTCCTGAATCGACGTGTCGGGGTGGGAGGTCTGTCCACCCCCCGATCTCTGGGATCGGCGCTGGACCCCCCCCGTCCCTGGCGCGCGGAGGTGCGCCATGGGAGAGCGGCGCCGAGGCGCCGCCGCCGGGGGGGGACCCGGCGCCGCTCCGAGAGCTCCGCGCGGAGCTCCGAGCGTCCAGATGCCCGTGCGACGTCCGCCTCCCTCGTACGTTTTGACGCCCTAATATAATGGGTACGGGAAGATGAAGGGGCCCCAGGACACACAAATAAATACACACAAATAAACATATTCCCCATATTTTCCCATATTTTCTGGGTTTCTGTCTTCCCCCCCACTTCCCATATTTTCCCATATTTTCTGGGGAATCGAGGATTAATTGTGTCTGTGTGTTTCTTTTCCTCCTGAAAAGAGTGGGTACAGTGCCCAACAACAAATGTTGTCCCAGACCAGATGTTTCGTGGCACTGCAAGGAGCGCCACCGAGGGTCCCAATAATCTGCGTTCGCATGCCACCGCGCCGCCCGTGTCGGCACACCGCTTGCACGCTCCGTGGCCATACAAGGATCTCCACCGAAAAAACCCGCTGGCAAAATGCACCTGCGGTTCCCCACCAATTTCGGCACTCCCCTCACATGTTTGTTGGCCCTACAGTGTGGACGCCCGAACTGGGTACGGAAAGCATGGGTACAATGCCCAACAACTAATGTTGTCCCAGACCAACAGCGGCCGCTCTTGGGCAGGCGGCCTTCTGTCTCGAATGGACACAGGCCGCGGCGGCGCAGACAGCGAGTCCTGTACAAAAGGAACAAGACCTGCTGTGAGGCATTGTACCCATTCTTTCCGTACCCATTTCGGGCGTCCAGAGTGTGACTCTGCACCGACGCGTCCGAGGCCGTGCAGACCGATCTTCCCTTGCTCGATCCGAGCGGCACCCCTCCCTGGGGGCGACGGCCGGGTGTAGGAACCGCGCGAATATACCCCAAGGTATCTGGGCTCTGCCCCAAAAGGCTGCGCAAAAACGCCACAGGACAATGTATGGTGTACAATTTGCCGGCCGGATCTCCGGGCGACAAGCGTTGAAACTAACATGCACTGTGTTCTTGGCCGCCATGTGCCACTGAGTGGTGGGCAAGCATAACCCAGCGGCGAGCGAGGGGGGAAAGGAGAAGGAAAAGGCCTTCGCAGAGGCGGAGGGACTTCTCAGAAACCCTCGCGGCTTGTGTCTGCGGGGACGGCTTCGAACACTTCTCGGACGGCAGGGGGACTTCCGAGCCTTCTGAGAAGGCCCGCCCCATCTCGCTCCCCCCCCTCGCTCGCCGCCGAATCACGTCGTACAGTGGACATGCTCTTCAGGAGGTCACGTGCGAAACCTACCTCACCTCCCCACGATGTTTACGGGGGAGGTGGGGCTAACTTCGTGCGGGACCTCCCGAGCGAAGGAAAACCCACCTCCCCAAATCGTGGTGCCTCCTCCTCCTCCTCCTCGTCGCCCGAAGACGGCCCAAGAGGCCTCGAAGACCGCCCCACGACAGGCCAAGAGTTATATTGCTCCCATCGTACTTAAAGACCACATCCCAGAAATAATCTCGAGCAGCCGGAGAAGTGTCGAAAGAGTGTCGAAACAGTGTCGGGCGAGTGCCTCCCAGGGCCCGACGCGCAAAAACCCTGGAGCTTCGGTACTTTTTTGGTGCTCGAAATCCTTTCTGGTGATCAAGGCTAAAGCAAGTTGGAACATCATATTTGGCACCCGAAATGGGTACGGAAATAATGGGTACAATGCCCAACAACAAATGTTGTCCCAAACCAACAGCGGCCGCTGTTGGGCGGGCGGCCTTCTGTCTCGAATGGACAAAGGCCGCGGCGGCGCGGACAGCGAGTCCTGTACAAAACGAAAGGAACTGCTGCTGGGCATCGTGCCCACTCTTTCCGTGCCCATGTCGCTCGTGCCGATCATGAGCCAAGAGACCCCTGCTGGCCCCGAAGATGCCCCTTGCGAGCCACGAGGCCCGCGGCCGGAGCCTCGCATGCCCAGGGGGAGCCTGGCCGGGCCCCCCTGCGGCGGCGGTGCGGGCCCCCGCTGCCGGCGGCGCGGGGCGGGGCGCGCGTGGCGAGAGGAGCCTCCGGAGAACGAGGGCGAGGGCGAGGCGTGGGGGGGAGGGCGAGGACGAGGGCGAGTCTCCAGGGGACGAGGGCGAGGGAGGGGGTGGAGGAGGGGCACGAGGAAGGGGGGGGAACGTCAGGAGGAGGGTCGGGAGGAGAGGTAGGAAGGAAGCGAGGGACGAGGAGGAGGAGGAGGAGGAGGAGGAGGAGGAGGCTGCGGGGGATGGGAGGGCGGGCAGAGGAACTCCCCCCCAGCGCAGGCGCTGCCCTCGGGGAGCGGGTTCGCGCAGGCGTGCTCACGGTGCACGGCGCTCGGCGTCGTGCGCCACGCCCGATGATTCCTCGCGCATCCTGGGCTCTGGCAGTGCCGAGAGAAGGATGACCGGCCACTGGCGCGTTTCGTATTCGTGCTGCGCGGTCTGAGCGACGACGCGGACAGCATCAAGAGATCAACGTGATGGACACATGAGCAACGCTTTACCAACGTCAGGCGCTGTGCTAGCAGAAGGACACCGCTTACGACAACCCTCCTGCGCTTGGTTTGAGACTGCGTTACCGACCCGATCCTCGAATCCACAGAAATGCCCGCTGCGCATGCTAATATGGCTGCAAGCCCTGCAGAAACACTACTCGCAACATGCGCGTCGTGCGAGACGCTGATGCAAGCAGATATCGTGCTGCTGACTGCTAGGGGCACCAGCAATGCCAGTATTAGCTTCGATAGCTTTGACGTCTCTTGGTCTTCGAAGCACATAAATAATCGCTTTCGGAAGCATCCAGCCTGCTCGCCATATTCACTGTGACGAGGGACAAGGACAGACTCAACATATCCACGGCATGGGCATGCACACTACAAGCATCCGCTCCCGACCGCCTTCACAAGTAGGAACAATGTGCAATATTATGCTCGGAGCGCCATGGAGTGCTATCATCAGATCGTTTCATTGTTGCTCGCTCCTGGGCGGAACCAGGCACAACAGCTGGTGTGTCGGGCCCCCTGCCTCTGTTCTTTGGTTCCGATCCTGTCCCCGGTAGCGCTGTGATCTATGAGGGCGTACTAGTTATGCAGATGATGCTGATGATTCTGGTGACGGTGAGGAGGACGATAATGATGCTGCTGCTGTTGATGACGATGATAATGTTGATGAGGGTGGTGCCGATGATGATGCTGGTGAAGATGATGGTGGTAATGACCATGAAGATGATACTTGTACGGATGACGCTGATGATGACGCTGATGGTGATGGTGCTGCTGATGCTGCTGGTGGTTATGTGGACGATGCTGCTGATGATGAGGATGAAGATGAGGAGCACACCGTCTAGGTCGAGCCCCCCACCCCGCAGTTTCTCGCCCAAAACCGACCAATACCTCCCTCCTGGCCCCCCTCCCCGCCCCCCTCCTGGCCCCCCTCTCCTCGCCCCGCCATCCCCCAGTCATGCAACCTCTGTTCTTGGAGCCCCCCGCCCCGCAGTTTCTCGCCCCGAGAACGGGCCCGGCCGGGCCCGATGCTGCAGGTGCACCGTCGGCGCCCTCCCGCCCTCGCCCCCGCTCGTCCTCGCCCCCGCCCGCGCCCCCTCGCCGACCAGCGGGGGGGGGGAGGGGAGGGGCAGGCGGCGGCGGGCGAGGGGACAGGAAAGGGCAGGACCTCCGCACGAGGGGGTCCACGCCAAGGCGCTCGCTATATATAAGGTGCAGGCGTAGGGCGTGTGCGTCACACTCCCCCGCGCGAGCGTCAGGCAGCAGGGCCTTGAGGCAGCCCTCCGCCGTCTCCTCGAGGGAGCTGCCGAGGGGCCCGCGCAGAGGCGCTGCTCTCGGGAGGCGGCGGGGCTCCTCGAGGCCGCCTCCCCCGAGAAGGGCCCTCGAGGCCGCAGACGCGCCCGGTCGGCAGCGGAGGGCGGGCGCCGGCGCGGCCGGAGAAAAGCCAAAGCCGGGCCGCGCGCGCGTCGAGGGCCCAGGGGGCAAGAGGGAGGCGAAGCGGGCGGCCGCGGAAGGGGGAGGGAAAGGGGGGGAGGCCTCGAGCGTGGGCGACCTCAAGCGCACCGTGCAGTGGTCGGGCGCTCGCGCTCTGGCTCCAGGAGAACGCCATGCTGCCCGAGTCAATGACGGGGATGGACAGACCCCCCTTTGGTAAAACGTGGCTTCGTGAAAACGACTTCGGGCCCAAACCTGGCGGGCGCAAGCCTGGAAAATAACGGCCACGGCGCCCTCTCGAGAACCGAGAACGGACAATTCACTAATCGACGTGTCACTGTTGGGGGTTCTGTCCACCCCGAGTCAAGTTTCCCGTGGCCTCACCACAGACTCCAGGGCGGAACGGAACATGCACGTCGCGCCGCGCAGTCGAAGGACGCCGCGAGCCCCAAGGGGTATCCTGAGGGCCAGCCAGCGACAACGGCCGAGGGCGGTCCGCAAAGGCGCAGGGACGCAGGCGCACCCTTGGAAAAACTGCTCGCCCGTCTTATCGTGCCTCACTGTAAACAGATATTTTCCAACTCCGTCTTGTTTTCGTGCTCCCTCATTCTGCCCTCGCGCCGCCTCTGCTGCAAAACGGAATCGAAGCGAAAACGGTCCACTGGCCATCGCTCGGACGTCCATTCCCTGTGTTTTTTTTTGGTTTCGTGCGTGGCATTTTCGCCAAATGGTCGAGGATGCTCCTCGAAGGTCCTCGCCGAGAAAGAAAATGCACACGTCCGAGCGATGCCAAGTCCACGGAATCGCTACTGCGCAGTTTCGCTCGAGCCCTGGCCCGAGGCTTCGCAGCCGGCAGGCTGCCACCGGTGCGGATTTATGTTTTTTCTAGACCAGCGGCTGAGGATGGCCCCGCGGTCAGAGCGACAACTGGGCTACGGGGCACGAGGAAGAAATCAGGAGGGGAAAAAGCATACAGACACAATTCATCGGCGATTCCCAGAAAATATGGGAAGTGGGGGGAAGACAACAACCCAGAACATATAGGAAAACATGGGGGATATCTTTCTATTTGTGTGTATTTATTTGTGTGCCCCAGTTCCCCTTCAAGAAAGAGGTGCAGCCGCGAGGGGGAGAAGGAAGGCCGTCGGCGCGGAACGCGCCAGCAGCCCACGTCACCTCTGTGTGAGACAGGCCGTGCGCGGTCGATGGCAGCGCGCTGCAGGTGCACGCGCCGGACGTGTGCGGAGGCGAGGCCGCTGGCCCCCCTCAGCTCTGATTCCCACTCGTGGACACCTGTTGCCGATGCGGCTACTCCGGATCTCATAACAATGGGGGGGGGGTCTGCTTCTGTGGGTGGGTCTCACGGGCTTCGTCAAACACATTTGTGGGGGGGGTCTCGATTTTGGACCTTTTGTTGCCTGTCTTGGGGGGGGGGGTCCCAGACCGGCCGTCAAACACTTTTTTGACCCCCCCCCACTATTATGAGATTTGGAGTATCGTGGCTTCCAATCCGCTTCGGCTCGGCACATCCTGAGGACATTCGCATCACGCCAGTTGCACACATCGAGCGGTTGGGTCTCAATGGGCGTACATCTGCCAGTAATCGTACCCCCTGTTCTCATCGAGTGATTCTAATGGCGGGTGGTATATGCAACTTCGCAGATCCAACGTGCCAATACGCATTTTGGCGCCATTATGCCATACGAACCCACGCGAAAACAAACGCCACAAACGAAAATCCGATGCGCAGGGGAAATTAAGCTTTAGAAGGCGCGTGCTCTACGCTGTGTCCTCCCTTTTCTCTGGGGGGGGGAGCCAAAAGGCACCGATACCGCTACTCCCCAGACCCCTCCCGGGGCTCGTTCTGACCAGCATTTCGAGCCGACTCGGGCGCGACGAGGGCCTCCCAGGAGGTCCCCCAGAAGGGAAGACAACAGAACGGTGGCGGTATGCAAGGGCTCCCAACTTCGCGCTTCGCGCTGCGCGAAGCGCGAAGTGCGAACAACTTCGCGCTCCCGCGCCGCCCCCCAGGGGAGAAGAGGAGGATGAGGAGGAACATCGGAGCAGAACCGCGAAGCGCGAACAACTTCGCGCCCCCGAGGGCGCCCTTGGGCATGGGTGCCCCTCCCTCCCCAGGGGACAGGCGCACGAAGCCGACCAAAGACTGCAACAGCCCTCGCCATCTCGAGGGGCAGCCCAAAGGCGGCTCATGGACGGTCCCGGGGCCGCCCTGGTCTCGGGAGCGGCCATGGAGGGGGGTGTCCAAGAGGGGGGGGTGCAGATCGTGACCGGCGGCACGTGCGCGGCCCAGCGGGGGGGGACCAGGGACGCAATGAAATACGAAGAGGCGCCATGAAATCTGAGGAAATATCATGGCCCCCGCCATGATATCCACCCCCCTAGTCATCACCCCCCTCTTTGCCGCCCCCGAGGGTCGGTCTCGGCTTCAAGACGAGACCCCGGGATGGATCTCTGGCGCTGCACAGGTCACCCACGAGGATGTCTCGCTCGTGCTCCGGCTCCTCGAGGAAAAGCGCACTCCTCACCCTGCGTGTCCACCCCGACCTCCCCGCCCCCCCCCCCCTCCTCCTCCTCCTCCTCCTCCTCCTCCTCCTCCTCCTCCTCCTCCTCCTCCTCCTCCTCCTCCTCCCAAGAGGATGTGAGGATTATTCGCGTTCGGCCCGCTGTGCCACTGAGGAAGCACCCGGGGCAGGCAGGGTCCCAGGGAGCTGCCCAATGACACGCCACGGGCCAAGGCCTGCAGTCAACCCGCACAGGAAGGATGGGCAACCTTCCCAAGGCAAGGGTATCCTCGCGCCCTTGCCTCCTCGGTGCAGCCTTCGCCGCTTTCGCCGGCCGCGTTGTGCTCAAGAAACTTCGAGATGGGCGTCAAAGGCCCTTGTACTCTTACCGCGTATCCTTACTATACTGGCTGACTGTAGTGCTCACGACGAAACAAATCATCATCTTCATCATCATCATCATCATCATCAGCATCACCATCATCGTTAACATCATCACAAACACCGGCAGCATCTTCAGCATCATCATCACCAACATCATCATCATCAACATCATCATCAACACCATCAGCATCATCAGCATCATCAGCAGCAACAACATCAATATCAACAGCAACATCAACATCGTCATCAACATCATCATCATCATCACCAACATCACCACCACCATCATCATCATCAGCATCATCAACATTAGCATCACCCCCTTCACAATCATCGTTATTGTCAGCATCATCATCACCATCATCGTTAACATCATCACCAACAACACCAGCAGCATCTTCAGCATCATCATCACCAACATCATCATCATCAACAGCATCATCAACACCATCAGCATCATCAGCATCACCAACATCACCACCATCATCATCATCAGCATAATCAGCATTAGCATCACCCCTTCACAATCATCGTTATTGTCAACATCACAATCACAATCAGCATCACCATCAGCATCAGCATCAGCATCATCATCACCATCATCACCATTACCACCATCATCAACAACATCAGCACCACCATCCTCAGCATCATCGTCGTCGTCATCGTCATCATCATCATTATCATCACCATCACCATCATCATCATCACCACCATCATCATCATCAGTTTCACCATCACCATCACCACCACCATCATCTTTCTCATCATCATCATCAGCATTCTCACCATCCTCCTCCTGCTCCTCCTCCTCCTCCTCCTCCTCCTCCTCCTCCTCCTCCTCCCCCTCTTCCTCATCATCAATGCCATCGTCACCTGCTTCTTCATCATTATCATCACCGAAGATGTCGAGGATGTCAGACGGGCCCCTAATACGCGTTACAGGCAACGCAGCACTACCCAGGCGAGGCATCCCAGCAGCGAACAACGAAAAATCATGCCGATGCTATAGGGTCGTGGTGCAATCTCGTTACAGGTGCGGCAAGGTCGGAGGAGAATGCTGGTGAAGGCCACGGTTGGGCCATGGGAAGGTCCAGGAGACGTCCTGGCAATTCCACGACACGGTGCTGCAAAGTGCTGGGAGGTGGGCACAGCTCGCAGGGCCTGCACAGGGTCCCAGAGACGCTTTGGCGACCTCTTGGCCGGATCCTGACAGAATCCTAGGTCCCAGTGAGGTCCAAACAGATACCTGTGTACTCCTCGTGGAATCCAAGAGGGGCTTGATGCCGGTGGGGTACTTGCAAG